GCCAATCTATGCGCCATGCAAAATACACCCCTTGAAGACTTTGGCAAAAAACAACTTTCCAACCGCACAAACAATTCAAGTAGTCTCTGTAAAACAAAACAGTTGAACACAATAATAATGATGCTAGGGGTCTTCTAGCAAAAGTTAGAATTGATACTGCCAGTTCAAATATATTCAAAAGGTTCGCAAAACAGAGATATCCAGTAAACAGGTGCACTGAAAGCCTTTACGACAGACTTTGATCCAGTCTCGTACAAGGAATTACTAGAACACAGAAAGAAGAGTAGCTGGAAGAAGCATTTAGTCACAACTAAAAGAGATGCGCAAAACGTGAATCGCCGTGCGTATCAACGAAAAGGTACACTAAAGATATGATTATAAAGCACCCTCAAATTAGATAAACAAGAAAATGTTTAAAATAACTACGAAAAACTGAGAAATTACAAAAATACTATCAATCGAACATCCGATAGGCATTTGTTCGAATATCGATTATTTTCCGCCACTTAATGAAACACACGTCCGAGGAAGGATGACAACTACATTAAAAAACAAACAAAAGTGGAAGCTTAATCGACTGGTTTAACGGTCAACAGAAATGAACAGCGGGCACCTAACGTGCCACCACGAGAAAATGACCCCTTCAAACGTTATTCAAACTGTAAGAATGAAGTAAACACAGGAAAGTAATGGAATGGTAGTGGCGGCAGTGAAGGGAACAGAGAGAGTTATATGCAAGCAACAATGGACTTACCACGACTTATTGAACAAGGCTATTCCCCGACGTACCAAAAGCAAAAATGTGAGAGAGCGACCCAAAACGACGATGCTGACGATTGTTTCGTTCGCCGACCGGATCGAACCGACTAGCTTGTCTATGGCAGAACCGGTCTTCGCCGACTGTAGTGACAGAACGTGCCCTTTGCCACCTGAAATCGCACGCGACACGTTGCACAATGGAAATTTTCTCTTCGACAGGCGACCAAGAATCAGGTCGTCGCTACGATGTCGATGCTCGTATTTCTTCTACTTCATGCTCAAGCTGTCTTCTTCACCTTATGACGGTACGGCAACTGTCAGCAATGGATTTGTCGATTTTTACGCTACGCTGCATCTGTCAAATCCATATCACTACAACTAATTTCACCTGACAATCATATGAAGACAGCTGATCACTTCGCGCGTCTGCAATAGCGATTAACTATATACCGCAAACCTTATCTGATCTACAGGATAGATTAACGCACCTACAGTTATAGTTAATTAATAATATTTATTCGTACGTTCAAGTTCGAAACGTCAGATCTTTCGTTGTCTTCTGTATGAGCGCGTCACGCACAAAATAACGCTTCTCATATCTTTTCTTGCTCTAATCTTGAGCTATTTTGGCTTGAATTTGTTTGGCTGTCCAATTGAAAGTAAAAATCATTGCGAACTTAATTAGCTTCTTTGGCTTCGCCGCATATTAGAGTTATATGGCAGGAACACTAAGAAAATGATTTAGTTATTTTTAATGCACAAGTAATTTTGGTACAAGCATAGATTGAACACATTTTGGACATAATAGAAAAGCAGACTGCGCAAAAGCCATTTTCTAGAGTCCGTATATTTCCCGTTTGGCGCAAAAAACACGGCCAATGTCGACCGGGAGGCCATATTCAACCTGGAGGGATGAAATGGATGCTGATTTGTTTCGGAATTGCATGTTTCCGTCTACTATTCAGCAACAAACGTCTTATGGTTAAAGGGATTTGAAAAACTGTAGACACATGAGTCGTCACATGCCAAAGGCATTCTGCAAGTAAAAACGCGTAAATGTGATCATCACAGGGGCATGAAATATTAACAGTGTCGCCATAATTTTCATCCAATCCAATGGATTCACAGATACGCAACACTTTGCGACATTTCGGTCACAGACAGTTATCACTGAAGAGTGTGAGTAAAACCACCTTCTAATTTACCTGGACGGTCGCATGCACCATTTCGCTTCAGCAGAAATATAATAAAATGACAAATTTTTGACAAAATTTTCAAAAACAAGTTTGCTCTCTACGACTTACTCAATTTTGGTAGACGTCGGATAGGTGAAAACGAGGTTTAGCCGTAAGACGCACTCATCCTAAAACATGACTTTGTGTCTCGTACGTTCTTGCATGATCATATTAGAATAGCATTCTGTTCCTGTAATTAATCCTGTTGTTGCTTTAGGTCAAAAACTAAATAAAATGAATTCATTTCTAGTGAGAGAAAATAATGATTTCTGAGAGAAAATCTATGAAGCGCTTGAAGACTTCAAGGTGGCACATCCGAAATAGGCAGAAATCGAAATCGGGGTCACATCTTTGCTGATTATTAGACTTGATGATCAGCTATCAGGTTGCTCAGGACGGAATGCAGTCACAAAGAGAATTTTCATTGGTGAGCATGACCGCATTCCTCATCTACTCCGGCGTGAAATCGCAATGCCGCAAGATGTGTATCAATCGCAAGTCACATACTACCTTTTTCTCTGCTGCACGCACCGAAGCAACCTGAGGTAAATTGATCCAAGGATTCTGTGGTCAAGACGACAAATTTATGCTGAGTGGATTAGAACCAGGCATCTGCGGAGTCCAAAGCTGACCTCACAGTCAATGTGCCATGACTCAGTCAGTAATTAGTTCTAAGCGTTTCTTGCCTCTTTAAAGCAAGGCAAAACACATCTATGATATACAATTCATATAATCGGCGAGTACATGCGAAGCTAAGCAGCAGCATCAGAAACTAGCCTTTACTAGCAAGCACAGTGGATCATGGACGTGTCGAACAGTTATTTTGTCAGATCATGTTGGCCTTAACTTTTCTCGTGTTTCAAACGGCTCGGTGATTGTAATTATGCAGCATATTTATTTTTATACCGATATATTTAGCGCATTTTTTGCTTTGGAATACTTGGTGATACTATCCGAGCAGCAGAACCAATTCAGCCAGGTGTAGCCACTTTCTACCGTACATGATTCTTGTTATATTGCTATACTTTGTATCTCTAAGTACTTTCGCGGGTTGAAAGTGTACTGTACTTACCGGGTACTTGACGTTCTTTCGGTGCAACCTACGAAGAGAAGGGTTTCAAGAAGCTGCAGTTGCATAATTTCGTAAGTTGACTAAATGCTAATACAACCGAACGAATTTAAACATATTGTCTTATGGCTCTGTGTGCAAAGGGTAGACGCCGAAATGGTTAGTTTTTGCTTAAACGTGATTTTATCCTTTCTTGGTGAAGATGATTAGTGTCGTGAGTGGTTAAAGGTTCTGTGTCCATTTTTTTCATGCAGTAGGACAAAGGAAAACAGCAATTTTTGAAGCTGTTGGATTATAAATTAAACATACTTACCCCGTCGAAATTTGTATTTGAATTAATTTAAAAAACGCTTTTAATTACTTTAATTTAGTTACAAATTTACCTCTTAATGCTTGCCGCTGTTAGTGATAAACGAAGGTTCTGTTTATACTTCTGTATGTTTTCTTATCGCTTTAGGTCTGTGCTAAGCTTTTAACCGGTTTTACCCCCGTTCCCCTTTACCTACTTTTAAATAATTGGAATGGAATCCGGTTGCATCTTTCCGTCTTAAACTCGTTCTGCTGTGCAACCAGCAGGTTACAAAATATGAAGTGTTTTGCAAGTGGAAATGGCCCTTTCCTGAAAATCTCAAACTTCTTTTTATGAACGTGTCGTTTCTAAAGGCTTTTTATGCTGCCACGGCATGACTAGCCTTTCTGTTGTTATGGTAATGCGAAGATAGGAAGCCGGAGACGACGCCTTAAAGTTGACGACAGGAAATACACATAACTGAGCAAAAGATGCGAAGTAGTTACGTGGAACAGCTAGTGATGTTGTTGACTCCACCATTAAAGTTATGCTGTTACAGCCATTATCCTCAGTGAGGTAGCAAATAACTCCTAACTCGTCGAAGACCTGATTTCACGGCATATTGACCACCCTTACAGCTGTTTATCTAAGGGGACGTTTAAGCTGACCGAAGTTTCTAAAGCTGGTACCCGTAATAAACTACGGCATACGGAATAACGGTGATCACTGTACTCTTCAGATTGTTTCTTCAGTGATTCAGATTTTAGTTTTGTTTTATTGCAAGTGTGTTACAACTGGCTTGTAATTCCCATGGAAGGTTCTCCTCGGCTTTAGTAGCGCTGTAAATTATGAAGCGTTGCACGGCTGAATCGAACAGTTCTTTATTCGGTCGTATGGGCATCCTGCGGTACAGTAATTGGTGTTATTTTATTGCTGTTAAAGCTGGCCAATGCCGTCTTGCTTCTTCGCCTGATTTGCTCGTCTAGCAAGTTCATGTAGTCCACCTGACGCCAAGGTACGCCTAGCTGGTTACTTGTGACATTGTACTTGTATAGGATATATTATAGAAAGAGTTATGCCATCTGTCCCATTTGAGGAAGCGATCCCTTTTTGTTGTACGTTTATTTTGATCGTCACCTTAAACCGTTCACGTAAACAGAACGTCTCTGGTTTGTGATGTCCGCTGTATTAGCAGCTTTTCAACTCTCGCTATGAAGAATCGGTTATTGCGTCGAAGAGGGAACAATTCCTCTCAGAAACTAGATTTACTTCTACTGTGTCCTCCTTTCCAATGTCACGTGCTGACCTCCTTATTGACGCCTACCCTATTTCGGCGTCCACCTGAAAAGCTGGACTGGAGTGAACGGTTTATGCTCATCTACTAAACATCCTGTAGCAGAGCCGACCTCGTTTTCTTACTGTCCACGTCTGACGAGATTACCTATTTCCGTAAGAGAATGGAGTGATGCCTTTCGTGGTCCTGCGATTTAACTCTCATTTTGTGTAGCAGCCAACGTTATTGTACCCAGATGAACCGCATCTGTGGGTTTCCATCCCTACAACAACACTGACTGACAGATGCGAGGTACAGGAGTATGTTTCTACATATGCTCTTTTCTTAACCCAAATATTAGAAAGCATTCCTAAAGCACTGGAGGCTAGGGCGATACCCCTCGCTGGAAGATGCCATCGTTGGAAACAAGTGGAGCTGGGATACTTAAACCGGTCTAGTTTCTTTAACGCTTCATCTCTCTGTTCCTATTGCAGATCACATCTGCTGCGCCGGATGAGAACCTCATATTTTTAACGTCCGGGAGTTAAGGTACAGGTCGGCTTTCGCCGCAGTGACGCTTACTCAAGCTGTCAGTTGACGCCCCCTCACTCGTATTATTTACTAGGACAATATTATCTGCATACCCTAGGTCAGCAAGATATTTAGCTAGATATCTTGAACTGCGCCTTACCTCTAAAGTGACATTTTCGTCTTTGCAAAGATCATTGTTGTTTCGGAGAACAATGTTGAATAGAAGCGGAGAAAGCATACCGCCCTTATGAAGTCCACAGTTAAGAGGGAACTCTTCCGATAGCTGTGCTTCGATTTTAACAGCAAGCATCTTTCCTTCATATATCCCTTCCAAAATGTAAACGACGTGCTCAGGCATCCCGTTGGATTTAAAGATTTACCACATCATCTGACAATGCATTATATCAGATTCATTGCTTGGATCGTTGGCATTGCTCAATGATCGTATGCAGCGGGAAGACTTTCTGATTTAAGTGAAGTCACACCGATTGCCTGCCTCGGCCTGATAATCCAGGAGAAATGTTTTTCGGTTGTTGACAATGGTATGGTACTACGGTACTTCAAAAAAAACCTCGCCCCCTATAAATATAGGGCCAATTATTCCCCGTTTCCATTCTCCATGGAAACATTTGGATTTCCACATTTGAGGAAACAGCCCAAGGAGCTTCTGTACCATTCACAATCTTCCATAAACTATGAAGGTATGCCAATGCATCCTACATTCCTTCTTCACCATCAGATGTAACAAGCATTTGTGGATTTCTAGATAGATGAGTGAGTGTGAACCCATTTATGTTTTTTTAATATTCTGTAAAAATATCTAAACGAAACACCAGACATTATTTGTGTGACGAGTACTTCTTTAGTCCATCAATTGATGCGAGACGCGACTAACTTCAACGGCCTGATATGCATTTATGTTCATGTCGAGTTTGTTGAAATCCTGCAGATCACCTTAAGCGTTTACATAAGCAGAACATGTTTTTTCTCTGGGCGACGTTCCATTCACAGCGTTTCAACGCTTTACCGCTAAAGTACAGGCTACTGCACGGTAGATGCTAGATGGAAGAATTCCTTTTCAAAACAAACCTGCTTCAGTCATGTTCCTCGATGTTGCGTGATATCTTCTTGATCGATGTCTGCCTGATATATCTAGGTTACCGAATGAAATCCTCATTTACTAATGAAACCGGTTTAGAAGCGAATAGAATCACCCCTTACCTAGTCGTTCCATTTAACCCTTGTAGCAGGTCCAGAACCGAAGCTGCTGTGCACTGTTGTTAAAAGTCGTTGTTGATCCTTCGTCAGGACAACGGTTTTCATGTGTTACAGGAATACTCGCCTTATCGATGCTAAGTAGAGGCGGATTTTTGTTGAAAGGTGTAATCCATGCTCAGCCATTATACTGGACGGACAGATTGCTTAAAGCACTGGATGATCATTAACTTAAAGCACTGGACGACTGTGGAACGGTTGCGATATTTGACCTATGGTTTTATTCTGTACGTACAGTGTAAATTTTGGCAGAAATGCATCTTTCTACCGAGGCAGGTAATATATAGCGATATTATTTGCAAAGCATCTCTGACAAGAACGAACGTGCGGTAGCTCAAAATCTCACTAACATTGCTGTTGTACAAGAATGCGACTTCCCGGTGAGCAACCGCATGACTGTCATGACCTCTTTTCATTGAAGTTCTGTTCGATCGCTTAAGCACGCATTTGAACGAAGGCTAGTCGATCGACAGACGAGATTTAATTGAAACTTTTCGACGCTCGATCATTTGCAAATACTGAGTAAATTATTGGAAAGGTTTCATGAGTACCACTTGTTTAGTTACGATATTGAGTGACGTTGAAGTTTGTGTTATGTCTTCAACTGTGATGCAGTTTTGCCAGCATTTGAGGAACTGTTAATCGAATAAGAAAGCAGCGGAATTCTTCGACAGGTATTATCGAGCTGTAACGCGAAAATTCGGTTCTTCACATGGACCACAATATTGCTCAATCTGTTCGTAGCGTTGGCTTTTCAGTCAACTGAAAACTGCTAATTAATAAAACTGCTAATCATCGTTTTTTGAGGCAAAAGAGGATGATGACGACGGCGACGATTATGATTACGGTAATGATGGTGATGATGGAGAACCTTCATTGCTATACGATGTACCTTGACGGGCTTTAGTCTGATTTTCAGCAAGATCACGAGCTATTCGTATAACAAAAAAAATATTGCCAAGACAAGGTAAAAAGTTTCATGGAGGAAAGTTTGAGGTTGTACCAAGCGAGGGGTAGTTAATGAGCGAGCAAGTTTATATTTCGGTTAACAGATTAGAGATCGAAA